GCCGACATGAAGCACTGGCCCTTCAAGGTGGTTTCAGATGGAGGGAAGCCCAAAATTCAAGTGGAGTACAAAGGAGAGAACAAGACCTTCTCCCCTGAGGAGATTTCCTCCATGGTCCTGGTGAAGATGAAGGAGATTGCTGAGGCCTACCTGGGCCACAAGGTGTCCAAAGCCGTCATCACGGTCCCGGCCTATTTCAACGACTCCCAGCGACAGGCCACTAAAGACGCCGGCGTCATCGCAGGACTCAACGTCCTGAGGATCATCAACGAGCCCACGGCAGCTGCCATCGCATACGGACTGGACAAAAAGGGCAAGTCAGGAGAACGACACGTCCTGATCTTCGACCTGGGTGGAGGCACCTTCGACGTGTCCATCCTGACCATTGATGACGGCATCTTTGAGGTGAAGGCCACGGCCGGTGACACTCACCTGGGAGGAGAGGACTTTGACAACCGCATGGTGAACCACTTTGTGGAGGAGTTCAAGAGGAAACACAAGAAGGACATCAGCCATAACAAGAGAGCCTTGAGGAGGCTGCGCACTGCTTGTGAGAGGGCCAAAAGGACCCTGTCCTCCAGCTCCCAGGCCAGCATCGAGATCGACTCCCTGTTTGAGGGCATTGACTTCTACACCTCCATCACCAGGGCTCGCTTTGAGGAGCTGTGCTCCGACCTGTTCAGGGGGACCTTGGAGCCTGTGGAGAAAGCTCTGAAGGACGCCAAAATGGACAAGGGACAGATCCACGACGTCGTCCTGGTGGGAGGCTCAACCAGAATCCCCAAGATCCAGAAACTCCTGCAGGACTTCTTCAACGGTCGGGAGCTGAACAAGAGCATCAACCCAGATGAGGCGGTGGCTTACGGCGCCGCCGTCCAGGCCGCCATCCTCACAGGCGACACCTCGGGCAACGTCCAGGACCTTCTTCTGCTGGACGTGGCACCTCTGTCACTGGGGATCGAGACTGCCGGAGGAGTGATGACGTCCCTGATCAAACGCAACACCACCATCCCAGCCAAACAAACCCAGGTGTTCACTACTTATGCTGACAACCAGCCCGGGGTCCTGATCCAGGTCTACGAAGGTGAGAGAGCCATGACCAAGGACAACAACCTGCTGGGCAAGTTTGAGCTGTCTGGAATCCCACCCGCTCCCCGAGGGGTCCCTCAGATCGAGGTCACTTTTGACATCGATGCCAACGGCATATTGAACGTGTCTGCGGTGGACAAGAGCACGGGCAAAGAGAACAAGATCACCATCACCAACGACAAGGGCCGACTGAGCAAAGAGGAGATCGAGAAGATGGTCCAGGACGCTGACAAATACAAAGCTGAGGACGAGCAGCAGAGGGAGAAGATCGCTGCCAAGAACTCTCTGGAGTCCTACACCTTCAACATGAAGAGTAGCGTGGAGGATGAGAAGCTGAAGGACAAAATTAGTGACCAGGACAAGAAGAAGGTGACTGAGAAGTGTCAGGAAACCATCGTCTGGCTGGAGAACAACCAGCTGGCTGAGAAAGACGAGTACCAACACAAGCAGAAAGAGTTGGAGAACGTGTGCAACCCCATCATCCGCAAACTTTATCAGGGAGGGATGCCCACTGGTTCTTGTGGAGAGCAGGCACGAGGCGGCACCCAGGGGCCCACTATTGAGGAGGTGGACTGAAGGGACCCTGAACTCTAGGACCTTTTAGCATTGTTTATAGAGAATATTTTTCATGTTTACATTAGAAGTTTAAATATTATGTCAAGATGATTTTACAAAACAAGACACTGAATGTTATGTAAAATTTTGATGTTTTCATCTTTTGTTTGCTGGGTGTTGCAATAAAGATGAAAGTCACTAAAATACGAATGTTTTCTGTCTTTTGAGTCTGTGTGATTTTGGAAAAGAATTAATTGAGGAATTTCTGGAAATAACGTTTTTGGGACCAGCTCAACATTAAGTCACTTTCCTAAATAAACAAAGGAGACTTTAACACAAAATATCTTGCAAATTAAACGTGTTCAGAGGAATAAATAGATCTTATAGTAAAGATGAAAGTAAACAAAAATACAAATGTTTTTTTTAGGGAATATTTCATTATTAAAAAATGAAACAACCAGAATACATTTTTTTCATATTATTTTTAAAAATCGCATCTAAAGGTAACATTTGTATATTTCATTTCATGCACAATAGATTGGGACAGCTGACGTTATAGTTCTGATGAAATTGGCTTAGAAGGTGAAATTTAAAAAGACTCCCAGTGGCTAAATACTCATAAGGTTAACTGTACTTTGGGGGATTTTTAGGTGTTTTAACTTACTAACTTTACAGTTTTATATTTTTATTTTAAAAAGCAACACATGCTTTCTCTTTATTCCTATGACATCATAGTAACTGTCAAATGTGATATTTTTCCGAGATTCAATTCAAGTTTTTTTATATAGCGCCAAATCACGACGAGTTGTCTCAAGGCACTTCATATAATAAACATTTGTTATGACCACGGTCATAGGGAAAATTATTTTTGAACTATTCTTTTCTTTAGTGTTATTTTGAGTGTGCAGGTGCCCTCCTAGGATTGGTGGATGATGGCCAGGGGACGTTTGGATTGGAAGATCAGCTGGAGCAAAGCTGTTAAAAGGAGCCTGATGAGATGCAGCTGGGTTCTTCATTCTCCACTCATTCCAATCAGCCACCGCTCTGTGTTTGTGTGATGCCCTTGTGTTTTTGAGACTATTACCTACCATTCGAGGATTCTGTAGGGGTGAACCACCTTTTTTCTTTGCATTCCTGTTTTCTCCTGTTTTGGATAGTCAGGGAGGTAAGTTTGGTTGTCAGTTATTTCCTTTAAGTTTGTAGGTCAGTTGTCATTCTGAAGTTAGAGGTGTTTTGTTTATTGTTTTAGGCATTGGTTCACCCTGAGTTATTAATCCTCCCTCGTCCACAAAAATAAACAATAATGAACAAGAGTCTGCTTCTAGCCCTGCAGAAAGAGAAAGAATAGAAAAAAGGGACACAACAACAATACAACAGGAGCAAGCTATCACTGCGTCAACCTGATGATGAAATATAAAATCAACATTGTTTAACTGAACAATCACACGATAATAAATCACAGTGCATTCAGTGGCAATGACAGCCTTAAGACATGTGTTGAACGTGCCCAAGCCCATACTTATGTGAGCACCTGTGTGTGTACACGCGCTTGTTTATGTAGGGTTTCTCTATAAAAGCGTCCAATAGAGAGTGTGAGGGGCCACAGATCTGCCCCCCAAAGATGTGTAGGAGACGGAGGGAGCTCCAAGTCCTAGAGATCCAGGCGCTGTCCCAGAACTCAGGAACCCCAAGGAGACTGTAACCAGAAAGGCCCTTGCCCCCCTCGAGAGGCACAGAGGATCGCCCCCGGGGGCCACAACCAGCAGCCGGCAGAGTCCTGGGAGATGTCAGCGGCAAGCCCACAGGCCCGCCCCCAGCCTCCCACCCCCTAGCCGGCCGAGCCCGGGACCCAGCGACCCGGGACCTAGGGGTGACCACCCCCGCCAGGTCCCAGAAGAGCCCAGGGACCCAGACCCCACCAGGCAGCCACCGGGATTGATCAGGCAGACGCCAAAAATCTTAAACCCCCTGACCCGGAAGCCACGAACACTCAGGCAGACCAAGGCACCACACTCCACACCAGGTGTGGCAGGGGGAGGGGAGACGAAGATCTATATCATCAATAGAAGTCTTAGGAGAAGAGAGGAGTCAAAGGCCCCACCTGACATATACAGTCACACACTCCCTCCCTCATGCTCACACAGGCACATACAACCAAAGACATACAAAAATGCACGCCAGACACCCACTCATGCTTCTCATACACACCCTATTCACTCTGGTCCCAGTACTGCTGCACATAGGGTACAACCATTACCAGTTCCAAGAGTTCGACCCTTTCTAATGGGGTGCTGATGAGCAGGCTCCCCCACCCAACACTGAGCACAGTCTGTCTTTTGAGTCTGTATTAATGGAAAGGAGTTAATTGTAGAATTTCTGGAAACAACGTTTTTGGGACAAGCTCAAGCTCTAGGTCACTTTCCTAAATAAACAAAAGAGACTTTAACACTAAGTCTTGCAAATTAAACGTGTTCAGAAGAATAGCTGTATCAGGGAAGGAAGCCCACTGGTTCTAGTGGAGAGCAGGCATGAGACGGTGGCACTCAGGGGCCCTCTATTGAGGGGGTGGACTGAAGTGACCCTGAATCTAGAGTCTCTTGGACTGTTTAAGACTATAAAATAGTTGACCACACATTTTCCATCTAAATATAACCATTCTAAAATAAATAACATTTTGTAAATATTTTTTCCCAGTTAAATCAAAATATATCTTGCAACACTCTTATTTATTTTAAATGTTGGTCTTTTTCTATTGCTAAGCAACATCTGTATGTATTGCTTTCTTCTGGCAGTTGTCAAAAATGTAATAAAATGAATTTTTACATTAAATTTTCTTTTCTTTTCATGGTATTTTTTTTAAATGTTAGAATTTTCATATTTTACGCATTGTTTTACCTTTTAAAACAGTTCTACTCTGTATATTTTATAGGTTTAAAATTAACACTTGCTTGAATACATAGATTCCGAACAAATTTACTGTCTATATGAATTTCTTTTTGCAATTTTAACAACTTGATTAATCAGTATTATCTCTACTTATGTGTAGACTAATCAATACTTTACTTTTTACACGTTTTAAATAACGTTTATTCATGTAGCACCTATGAGCTAAATCAAAAAGAGCTTCACAAATAACATCAAAGTTAAATCATGGTAAATAAAGGATTGAAGGTAATAAATTCATTAAAACAAATGAAAAAAGATCAAACGGATCATTAACAACATACGAGCAAAAGTCATCAAAACAATAAACTATTTTAGCTGCTGATCAGTCGGTCGGTTTTATTCATCGACATATTACACAGTGATGTTGCCGAGGTAGGTGAGTTCACGTCTGCAGAATGTGGACCGAGCGCCCTCCAAATATCGCGAGAACTTAGACAGTTCGAGAAGAACGGGTCCAAGCAAGGCATAGCAATGTTCATATTTAGCAGCACCAACAACAACAAGCTTCAGGGAAATGGGCTTTCCGATGTGTGGACTGAGCGAACGCTGAGCTGTGTGTGTGCTTCAGTCGCAGATGATAACACCTGGCTGGGATGAACAGGTTAGGCTTTTACTTCTCCCCATTATAGTGCTTGCTGTTGATATAGCTGCTTTAGCTGATTTATTAATAGCTGGTTAGCTGGCTAACGGCTAGCCTAGCTTGTATGTAATCTTTTGCGTTCATTAGCGATGAAATGTTGAGTCTGTGGTGATTTAAGTGACAGCTAACTACAGTCCTGACCAAAGCAAATATAACTAGTTAGTTCCGCCAGACGTGAGTGCTGATAAACAGCACGTTTAAGGTGATGTAAGGGAGCCATTGTTAGCTGGCTAACGTCTGTGAAGAGCTGAATGAGCACACATGATGAAGGCATCTTTAAAATACACAAACAAGCAGTTAGCGGTGAATTGTTACCACCATATGGTGCAGAAAACACTCTTTTTATATTCAGTTAGACATCTTGTATAGATTAGAGATATTACCCAAGCAGCAACGAAAAAAAACGAAAACTTCTTAACATCATAATTTTTTACCCCGCCCCCCAAAAAAAGAATTTTAAAAGTGCTACCGGTGGTGTTTTTATTAATCTACAAAATAGATGCAGTATATGTGTGTAAGCAGTTAGTGGAGTAATCGGTTTAGCACTGAGCAATGTTTTAAAACTAATTCTGTCACAATCCTTTTGATTAAATAGTCATATTTTTTATTTATAACAAAACATCCTGCAACTTAATATTATAAAAGAAGTGTTAAATAATGTAATTCCATCCATTCTTACTGATAAAACCACCCTGTGTACAAGATGAAATTGTGTTTATATTTCTGATTTAAACAGCAAAATATGTAAAGTTATCAAGTAAGAATAATACTGTGGTCATATACTGTAATGTACATTTTTTGACAAACGAATAAATGTTCAAGTTTTTTCTCCTAATCTCCTAATTTTGTTTTTGTTTGTTTTTAGCATGCAGCCTCATCTCTTTGGATGTTCATCTGACGATGACTATGAGACTGACCTTTTAATACAGACATCAAACTTTGCTGCTTTTTTAAGGATCTTCCTTTTTTGCTGACTCAAAATAGTTGATACAAATAAATAATGTAGCACAAATCAAACCCTTGGAGATATTTGACCATTTTAAAACCCATTTTTATGGGTCCAGATCGTTTTTTTTACTTCTGTATTTCAGATGTTGCTGTGCACCACATTTCACTTCACACTGGTGTGTGAATGAGAGGACAGATGTGCCGTGTTTGCCCCAGTCATTTACCCCCAGCTGTGCAATCACGTGAGGTTTATTTTGCATGTTTGAAGTGACCCGACTGAACCGAGTCCCACACATTTCACAAAGATGAACGGCTCTCTTTTAACCCCACCCAGTCCTCGGGCTGCCAACTCCTCTCCATTGCCCCCGTCACCTTCTCCATCTCCATCTCCACCGTCTCCCTCTCTGTTGCCCTTGACCTCCAGGCCTCCCCCCCTCCCGCCTCTGGTGAGCCCACCTCCCCAGGCGCACACACCCTCCCTGTCTGACACCCCCACACCATCCCCCTCTCCTTCCCTGAGCTGGACCGAATTCTGTGAGCTTCACGCCCGCGTTGCAGCCGGCGACTTTGCACGTCACTTTCGGGCATTTCTTCTTGAAAACCCACACTACACAACAGACTCTGCGGCTGCCTTCTGCCGGCGCTTCACCGACCGCTTTGTTCGTCATTTCCAGAGCGAGCTGGAGGGGTCGCTCCCCCAGAGCTGTGCTGCAGGCCATGATGAGATGGTGAGCTGGGCTCCTCCATCAGATGCCACCTCCCTGGAAGAGGAAGCGGTCTCTCCACTGTCGGGCACTGGGGGAGCAGGCCTCCCATGTCCCCCCTCCAACACGGTACGAGCTTCAGCCAAGCTTTTCCCGTCACGGTTGGTGTTGGAGAACAGAGTCAGTGACCGGTTTCAGGATTCTTATGCCCATGGCCATGTCCTGCCACCCTCCTCCTCATCGTCATGCTGCTCTTCTGTGGGGGGTAACAATGGAAGGCGTGAGGAGAAAGGCGTCATGCTCTGTCCTGGGAATGGAGAAGCTCCGGTTGAGGAAGAGGAAGACAGCTGGCTGGGCGTAGCTTCAGTTGGTGAGGATGTTGAGCCAGACGAGCAAGAAGCAGAGTCCTCAGAGGCTGACCATACAGACGCCTCCCACACTCCTCAGCTTCCTCTTACTTCTGTCATTCCTCCACTTGACTCCAAAGGTAACGGTACCCCCAACTCCAAAAACAAACTCAAGAAACGCTTCTCACTGCGCAACGTGGGTCGGAGCGTAAGGGGGAGTGTCCGTGGCATCTTGCACTGGAGGAGCTCCTCCAGTGATGCCAGTCAGAGTCCGCTGCCCTCCAGCTACAGCTACACCATGGGTGTACAGGATGCTAGCCTGGCCTCCAAAAGGACCTCTGGTACTCAGCCCCCTACACCCACCTCCTCCATGCCTGTATCCCTGTCCATGCCCCTCTCCCTTCCTCACTCCTCCTCATCATCTCTGCCCCCCTCATCTTCAAGCAGCGCCACTTCTCTGTCTCTTTCGGAAGCTGCACGTGATCGGAGGAGGAGCAACGGTGAAGGAGGTGAGAAGGACAAGTGGAGCCATCGTTTGGAGAAACTTAGATTGTCACGGTCACCTCCCCCCATTCTTTCACAAACCACCACCAGCTCGCACCCCAACTCCTCCTCGCTGCCTCCAAGCAGTGCAGTCGCTGCCATGGGTCCTCCGAGGAAAGTGGGCCGGCTAGTGCGGGAGGGTGGAGTTAGTGTTAGTTCGTCCAGTGATGAATTAGGTGGAAGCCATGGCTTCTCTGGCTTCTCATTTGCTCTGCTGCACCATGGCACAGACAACAACAACATGGGGACTGCTCCATCATCAGGAGCCCCGGCAGGTCCAATTCAGCCTTTGGCCAGTGGAGGAAACATGCCCTGGAGAGGAGGACGCTGGCATAAGTGTCGTCTGGTTCTCAGAGAGCGAGACCGAGAGGGTGGTGAGCGGGGAGAGGAGTACTACCTTGAATTCTTCATCCCACCCAAAGTAAGCATTTCCTGTTCTTGACACATACAGTTATTACAGTCACGATAATCAACATCTTCTGGTTATCTGGACATTCCCTCCATTAGTCTTTAGTCTAACGTGGTTCCCCGTTTGTCTCCTCAGTCATCGAAGCCTCGGTTGACTGTCCCCTGCTGCTCCATTGTGGATGTGAGGAGCACCACGGCGCTGGAGGTTCCCGACAAAGAGAACACCTTCCTGCTGCAGGTACCAACATGTTCAGCTGTATCTCTTTGTTCAGGAAAAATTCTTTTCGAGGCACTCATGTTTTCTCCACCTGCTGTTTCTGACGTTCGTCTGTCTGATGAGGAGAAACGAAAGATATAACAAAGTTTAAAAAGTCACTTTTGTTCAAATTTGTGTTTTTGTCCCCCCGCATAAATGTTTCTGAGTCGGTATGAAACAATCCATTTTAATGACTTAACAAAGAAAAGCTTAGGAAGAAATCAGTCTACAAACTTCTTTGTTCTTTATGAAGTAAGTTGGTACAAAACCCAAAGTAAAGACTGCAGTTGTATCACACAAGCATTCGAAGAGCTGGTAGTATTCCAGTAAAAAATTATTAGGTATTAATTTTACTGCTTTATCCAAATATTCAAGCACTTTGTAACACTTAGAAAATATCAATACAATTATTTGTTTACATTTGGGAAATGCTCTCAGCCAATCAAATTCTAAGAGTTTAATTTATTATTTTTTTAAATAGAAACAAAACAACATTTCTGTGTCCTTTAGAGTCTCTTCAAAGCTGTTGGACCAAATAGTCAACCTCTTTCTTGAGACAATTAGAAAATTGGATTTCTGATTTTTTTTTTTTTGTGGGGGGGGGGTTTACGCATTCTCAGCTGGATGGATTGGCGCAGTACGTGATCGAAACACGAGATGCTGTTCAGATGAGAGCCTGGCTGAGTGACATAAGGAACGGCATCTGTCTCAGGTAGACTTGATTCACCAAAGCAAACATGGCAGGCCCACTGTTGAGCTCTCTGGCAGATGTTGGTGTTTGCTTTGAGGTTTATCTGCCTCTGTCTGCAGCGAGCAGGAAGATGCTGAAGGTGTGTGTGGCGGGCCGTTAGACATCAGTGGGACACCTGAGATAGGAGAACGTCTTTCACAAGGTGAGTTGCTGATGTTGTTGTCTCTGTGCCATTTCAGCAACGGGCTTCAGCTCTTGTGTGAAGTCAACAAAAGGCCCTTTTCTACTATCAGAATTTCTGGTTAATTTTACTGGACCTTGACAGCATGCACTTGTCTCCATTTCACTGGGACAGCCTGAAAGGACCATTTTCTGGGTCATTTCAGGGAGCAACCGAGCACCTGAACTGGGGTATGTAATTGGAATTGGCCCAGTAGAGTTGCTGGGTAGGACATATGGTCAACTGATGGTGATTGGTTCCAACGGAGTAGGAAATTATATTGGAAGGCATCACCAAACATTTGTCCAGGGAGAACGGTCTTTGCGATGTATTTCCCACTGTACTCTCTACCTTCATCTACTCCCCCACTTGTCCACACCTGGGCTAACATCATTCAGAATTTATCCATAAGCCCTATCAAATAAAAAAAGTTTAAGCCTAGTCATGAAAATAATCAAGGTGTCTGCCTCATGAATTAAACCTGGGAGCTGGTTCCAAAGGAGAGGAGCCTGATGACTAAAAGATTTGCCTCTCATCCTATTTTTTTAGATATTCTAGGAACCACCAGCAAACCTGCAGTCTGGGAGCAAATTGCTCTGTTAGGAACTTATGGAACAATCAGATTAGGCTAAAGGAAGGAAGTCCTGCTGTGTAGGAGTAGCTCTGTACCCTGTTTATAAAATAGACTTCTGATTTCTGTAGTGTGTTATGGGGGAATTGGGGGCTCCTCTCCTCTGATGGACCCTCTCCCACCGGAGCTTCCGCCTCGAGCACCTCTCGATGAACCAGACGGCAGGATTCTTGGGGGAGGTGGGGCTAGTCTAGGCACACCTTTTGCTGAGACGCCAGATGCTACAGGTAAGTCTGGTTTGTATGTTATCTTAGAAAAATGTCAGATTTTATTTAAATGTTATGAAAGCAGTTCAAACTGACCTTTATGTGTCTTGAATCAGAATTGTGCAAATATTGAATAATGTAAGATAGAATTTAGTCAAATAATTATTCTGCTCTTCTCTGAGGCTAAAATTACCAAGAAATTTAGATTTAATTTATTTAAAATTGTCAGTTGTATGTTTTAATTTTGATAAGTTGTCCGTTCTTGCCTAAATGTTTCTTTTAAACATTCACCACATCTACAAATAATGAGGCTCTTGGTCATTGTTGCAAATTTTTTAACATTTTATTTAAAAAAATAAGATCATTTTGAATGAAGTGTTTTGCCTTTCACAGGATCCTTCCTCTTCTCTGACGTGGTGACGGCCGAGGCGGTGGAGCACCCGCTCAGTGAGTGTCAGTGGTTCCACGGTACGCTGTCGCGTCTCAAAGCCGCCCAGTTGGTGCTGGCTGGAGGCCCAGCAAGCCATGGCGTCTTTCTGGTCCGTCAGAGTGAGACAAGACGGGGAGAATACGTCCTCACCTTTAACTTTCAGGGCAAGGCCAAGGTGAGTGCAGAAGTTCCTCTGTAGGCAGCATACATGTGTCACAGTTCATGAAGGAAGAATAATGTGGAACCAGTGACACTGCCGTCCATCCTCGTCTGTTGCTGCAGCTAACCGCACAGCAAACTGGTACCATTTTACAGTACCAGCGAGTTTCTTGACATCACTTGCAGATCACCTAAGGTCAAATATTCCAGCTGAGTAAAGGGCATAAATCCAAGCCACATAAAATAGAAGAATGAGGTAGGGATACACTGATGCATCGGCATTTGATCGTAATCGGCCGATAGCGCCCCTATCGGTTTTGATTGGAGTTTTCAAAATAGATCAAAGCAGACCGATCAGGTAGGGTTGTCACGGTAACCGGTGTAGCGGTAAACCCCGGTAAAAAGAAAAAGTTGACAATAATAATAACCGTCTTGTTTTTTTAAAGAACAATATTATCTCGGTGGGTTTACTGTGGCTGCGGTGTAGGCGCGGTGACCCTTACCAGCATCCGTATCGTCTGCTGAAGTTTCCGGCGGCACATGCGCACTTTGTTGTTTACAACCAAAACTTTCTTGAAGCTAAAGCTGAAATAATGGCCAAAGGAGGAGACGGCAGAACTCAGGAGGACATTTTTATCCCTCAAAGAAGACAAAGTGGGAAGTACGGGCATCTTTTGGATATTTGAAGAATGCCGAGGGACAGCTGATAGAAGACGGCTATCCTGTTTGCAGCACGAGCAGAAAAAGTGTCTGTGAAAGGCAGCAACGCTTCAAATCTCATGACACTTCTGCGTGACCATCACCCACAACTCTACAGTCAACGCAAGGCAAGCTAACGTTAGCGTTTTAGCTAAAATGCGTGATCCGAGGATTTGGGTTGAGGGAGAATGCAACGAGTCGCTATATAAAGCAGCCGCAGCGCCGCTACCTGCATATAAACCGTGTCGCGGACACCCCCATGTTGAAATGACGCTATGCATTACGGGGCTCCCAGGGGCAGATAAGAGTTGGTCTCTCTCCGAGAATAATTATGAATTTAACAATGATTACTGCCTGATGACATTTTCCCACATCTGCAAAGCTCACTGGAAGGACACAAACCGAGGATGATATTTTCCTGATATAGGGTTTATTACTCAAGTAAGGGTAAAAAAGTATCTGATTAGAAGGCTACTTGAGTACTGAGTATCATCTGATCTAATATTTTTAAAACGATGACATCAAACAGACATAAAATAAGAAGTTATGGGCAAATATTGGTATTTTAAAGACTAAAGGGAAAAAATGTAAACAAATAAACAACATAATTACAAAATAACACATTTTAGGCTAAATTTAGACACAAACTGAGGACAATATTTCCTGACACACAGGGTTTATTTAATGAGTGAAAATGTAGCACGTTTAAAAAAAATACAGCGATAATACTGAAAACCGTGGTAATTTTGGTCACAATAACCGTGAGGTTAAATTTTCACACCGTGACAACCCTAATACAGACCATTTTAGATTAGGTTACATTTCCTTTATTGCCAGATTATGTAGTTTGTAGCACTCATTAAAATGTTGTAGAAAATTTCTGGCCAATCCACGTGATCGGTATCAGTGATCAGCATTCTTTGATATCGGTATCGGTGATTGGCAACAAAAAACCTGATCGGTGCATCTCTAGAATGAGAGCAAAATAACCAGATGGAGACCTCGTGGGCTTGAGAACAGTTTAAAATCAACTGTTAAACACCCAGATGGGCTTTGTTAATGTGGATAATCTGAAACTGTGACACATGTGCTGCTGTCTTGTGTAAGATATTCTGTTTAAGGAACTTTCAGAACTTGTATTGTTGGCGTTTTCTATTAAGGATATATTTTTACTATAAGACATTTGTTACACTAAATGCGGTTCTATGCTTGTAAGAAAAAATAAGAGCATAGTTTTATAAAAGTGAGCATTTTTTTTTCAAGAAAAATTCCTAATGAAAATAAAACTATTTCTAATGTTCTGCAAGGAGTGTAATAGGGAGCCAGAAGCTGGTTTTTGAAGGGCACTACTCGGAGTAACTCGGATTTCCGCAGCTCGGCCTGACCACGTTTTCCCAGAGCACGGTTCTTTATTTTCCTTCTACTTTTACCCAATCTTTAGTCTCTGCTCCGTAGAGGTTTCTGGAAAGGCTCAGTCAGGCCAGCATCACCACTGTGGTCACTGATTGGCTAGGGGGCGGAGTCACTGGTTACGCAGGAGTTTTTGCCGGCAGCCTTTTCCTGGTTCAGAGTCTGACAAAAAGCCATAAAGCTGAGCAGGATGTCCAGCAACACCACCATTTTTCTGCTGAGTTGTGTTTGTGTGGAGTGTACAGGTTACCTACTGTTTACTGACCCCCTCGTGCCATTTAGTCATGAGTGAAGAGGTTCTGATTAACCAGTTGTATCAGAAACTATGAAAACATGATCAAAATAAGATGGTGTTGTTCAAATTTTATGGTTGTTTATGGAGGGTAAAGCAGACACTTCTCTACTTTCTGCTCAAGCTCTAAATGTTAACTTTTGAATCATTTCACGTGTCAATCTGCTGCCATTTTGATCAGATTTTCATTAGTTCTCACAAGACCTTTGGTATAATTTTGTTCATGTGCTCATCCGTCTTTGTCCTGCTCAATTAAACATCAGGTTCTTTCTGTATATTATTAATTCGTCTGTTCTCCCCCCCACCAGCACCTCCGCCTGTCCCTGAATGAGGACGGTCAGTGCCGAGTGCAGCACCTCTGGTTCCAGTCTATCTTCGACATGTTGGAGCATTTCCGGGTGCACCCGATTCCCTTGGAGTCCGGCGGTGCGTCTGATGTCACGCTCATCAGCTTCGTGGGCGCCACCGCAGTTCGGCAGCCAGGTGGGACTCTGACTAAGCCTCAGCTACTGGCTTTTGGACTGTGGTCAGCTGTTTTAGGAAGATGTTGCCAACTTTAAAGACTAATTATCAGTCTAATTAACCTTAATTTTGTTAATACATTTGTATTTTATTAAACTTTAGCTTGTGAGGCTGCAGAGGCACTGAAATCTGTAAAGACATGTAAACAAATTGATAAAAGGATGTGAATTAATCAGTAAATAATTCCAGGTTTCTTCAGAAACATACACGAGGTGAAACACTGCACTGTTAATTGAAAGTGGTTAAAATTTCTGTAGCTGGAATGGATGCAAATCGGGGCTGACGGGGCCTTTAATTTATCTGCAGGACATTTTTAGTTGTGGTGATGTGAAAAGATCGTGTGCAGTAAAAGGTCTGTTTTCCAAGTTAAACCTCAGTAATAAGATTTGATTAAAAGTTTTGTTGAAATTAAAATAAAATAAATAACCAGTGGTCATGACCATGAGCAGATCAGGAAACAAAAAACAACTTAAATTATGTGGATGACAAATAAGACAAAAATGATAGTTTTAATATTAGATGATAATGAAATATCTATTTGAAAATAATATTGTGACACTTCAGTATGGGGAAAAAACAGCCATGTTTAGTGAGTGACTTCTGAATCAGGTGGTCCAGCACCTGTAACGATCAACAGAGACTGAACCTGGACAGGTGTGAGTGGGCTCTTTACATGTGTGCTTCTGCATGTTGTTTAGACACAAGATTGGAGCAAAATCACATCACTTCCTGCTCCATCAAATGGCCCCGTCCCATTTTGGGTGAAACATGGAGTGAATGTGCTGGAATTAACAGTGACTACGTTTACATGCAGCCAATGTCCGGGTTAGGATAGGGTTAAGGTCGGTATTCGGGTTTCTGAGTTGATCAGAATAACCCGTTTACAAGCATAAATGGAAAGAGTTACCTCTAACTTGCATAACCCAATGTAAATGCTGACGTTGGGGTAGCGTCCGGACGTATGGACTACGTCAAGACGCAATATGCTTGTATATTTCGCTGTCTCTGTACTTTCGGCCGTCAACAAAAGACATAATGTTCATACTTTTCACCAGACCGATGAAGACAGAGGTTTCCTCGTCACTCCAAAAGTGTGGTGCTTTGCCGCGACTCGCCATGTTGCTCCCAACTTGTTGTTTACTTCCGGTGTTCTGGCGCATACAAGACGTCTCGCTACTCAAAAGACCAAGATTCCTTGCGAACAGAGCATGCGCAGAACACACACTTTGATGGGGATATCCCGGTATGCGTTTACACGACCAAACATTCGGGTTAGACAAGGGTTACCCCAGGTGTAGTAACCGGGTTATGAGCATATCCGGGTTTTTGGCGGTGTTTACACGGCCGTGCGGAACCGGGTTATTGTGAATATTCGGGTTTTAAAAGGGTTACTGGCTGCATGTAAACGCACTCACTGATGTTGTGCCTAAAAGGCTCGGTTCTGTTTTGCACAGGAGGAACGGAAATAGTTTGTTTCCTTCATTAAAGCAAAGGTTCAGTAAATAAACAATAAAACCTGTTCTTTAACAATTATGTGGCGAGCATGAGGAAAGCCATTAGGTGGTGATGAGTGACCTACTGAACTTAAGTTTATAAAAATGTTCTGGTGCTCACTGATGTGCTCACTCACAATAAACACATGTCTCCCAAACAGGCGGTTTAATTTGGGCAATTCTTAACAAATGCCTCAGAAGTTTGTTTACGATCCAAGTGGAAGGGTGTTCTCAGCCAAGATGGAGCAGCGCTGTTGCCCAGGGGCTGAAAACCTGGATGTGTTGCTCCAATCAGTTCTGCATGATCCAACCCTTCTGAGTCTCATGAAGCCACATCTCATCCTGCTGGTCTCAGTAATCTGGACCACATCAGTCCTGAGTCCTGGAACAGGAGATGCCTGGACTTCTTTGTTGTTTCCTAAACCAGCTGCAGCTCTGTTGATGTGGCTGAACTCTACTTTTCTCATTAAGACATGTGCAAGGATAGCCAGTAGGTGATGCTGTTTGGTTTATTTTATAGCTAATCAGGGAAGATTTTTATTTTTCCCTTCAGATAATTCCAATAAAGGATTCCAACATGCTGGTAACTTCTTACAGGAGCAAGGGTTTGTCTGAGATGATATCTGTTGGATAACTAAACAGGAAGTCCAGTCACCTTCTACTCACGTCCTCAGGATTCACATCTCATATTTTTGTCCATACAGCTAATATTCATCTGCCTCATCAATTTTTCCACATTTCCTACATGAGACGATGTAAATCCAGTGATATTTCCCTCTGAAGCTTCTGACTTTGATCAGATATGAGTAAAGAAGCTCTCTGATGCGACTCCTGACTGTTTAGTTTCAACCCAGCAGCTTTCCCATCTGTGTAACCCATCAGTGCTCTGACCTCTCTGTTGTTGTCTTGTTGTATCCGTTGGCTCATCCCTTGCAGGCCGCGACAGGGCAGGCAGTCGGCCTGCAGTCTGTGATGTCATCACCACGCGCCATCCCGACTCTCCATCAACCCCCATCTCTGACTGTGTGTAAGTGCGACCGGACTATGCTGAGAGAGGATGAGTGTGTGGCAGTGAGTGACTGAGGAGGACACATTTGTCATTTAATCAAGACTGGTGATGTCTGAACCAACTAAACAAAACATCAGTTTGCTTTTAGCAGAGCAGGATTCAGCTCTGAACCAATCAGGTCAGACTTTCCTGCCCCACTGGAGCTGTTTATAACAGAGCAGAGTCCGTATGTGGGAAACGGTACTCTTGGGTTTTATGGCTGTTAAAGGATTTATTTAATTTTAAAGGCAGATTTTAATTAGTGTGAGCAAAAGAGGGTCTAAAGAAATGTATTTTTTCATTTCTACTTTGTCTTGTGTTGAAAATATGGAACTTCAAAAAAAACTTTTAAAGACTAAGTTCACTGGAAAACCATTGTTTATTTGTTATTTGTGAAATACAATCAGTCACTCTGGGTTTCACATGCAGGCTAAATATAAAAATAGTCCTGTATCGCTAGTGCCTGCATTACCCACCAGGAGAAGATAGACGGAAGTGCTTGGAGTATAAATGCCAGTCAATTCAACTTCATTGTAAGTTACCATTCATGGACTCGCCCACCTTGGCTAGAGGAAGACTGCTGATTTAGTGTTCAGAAGATGGCGGCGCACGTCTTGGCTAGTAGAAGCTAACTGTTAGCATTAGCAACTCCACAACAGAGCAGAACTCCTTCAAGCTTGTGTTATTTGTGGAGATAAGACATCAGCGAGTCAGTGTTACCCGTCTAGGAGGGCCAGGTTGTAACATAAAAATGGCTCAATCTTCCACCAGTTCCAAACCACCACAGCAGAATTCCGAGTACAATCATTTATTCACAAGATCAAGGCGATGAACTAAGGACGAGGGAGGATTAATAACTCAGGGTGAACCAATGCCTAAAACAATAAACAAAACACCTCTAACTTCAGAATGACAACTGACCTACAAGCTTAAAGGAAATAACTGACAGCCAAACTTACCTTCCTGACTATCCAAAACAGGAGAAAACAGGAATGCAAAGAAAAAAGGCGGTTCACCCCTACAGAATCCTCAAATGGCAGGTAATAGTCACAAAAGCACAAGGGCATCACACAAACACAGAGCATCAAGTGGTGGCTGATTGGAATGAGTGGAGAATGAAGAACCCAGCTGCATCTCATCAGGCTCCTTTTAACAGCTTTGCTCCAGCTGATCTTCCAATCCAAACGTCCCCTGGCCATCATCCACCAATCCTAGGAGGGCACCTGCAGACTCAAAATAACACTTAAAAAAAAAATAAAAGTACAAAAATAGAAGAAATAATGTTCCTTATGACCGTGGTCATAACACACAGTCACATTGCTGTTAGCCAATCAGAGGCGAGGTGTCAGAATATCAGGAAGTAAGACTCCAAATCCTGCCGTGTCCAGCTCACCTTCACTCTGGTTCACTTCTATTTACTGAAACAGGAGTGCCAGAGCTTTCCCCCCCACAGAGAATGACACAAGACATTTATTTATACTTGAGACCACTGCATATGCTTAGAAAATTGAGTGAGAGAACTTGGTCTTTAAAACATAATAAAAATTCATCTTTAGGACGTTAAGGAGATGGATATTAATCCTAATATAAATCTGTTCTAAATTTAACTTTAAGCCAGTGACAAAAATTAGGAAAATAAAACATCCTTATTATAAAAATGGAAAATAAATTAGACAATTGTTTAAGTAACAAATGCACTGACTGGTTTTTATGGGTTAATATTGGTGTCGGTGAGATTTCATTTTTGAAAATTCTCAAATTAATTTGACTAACGAGTTTATGGCTGGATTGTGAAAACGGTTGCATGTCTGACACTTGAGAATATCTGATATTGTCACCGTGGCCGGGTTAGACAAAAGGTGCGTTTCCACTGTCGGAACTTCAGGGTAAATTTACAGAAACTTCCCGACATGCACATCTCAACTTGATCGAGCCAGCTGAACAGCCATTTTTCAGGCCATTTTCGGTAACTTTGTGAGTACCTGGTGAGGGATAGGTACTCGGAATGGCCTGGTAAAGTTGCTAAGTGGACCTTTTGGTTAACTCGTGCTAATTGGTTGTAGCTCAGTAGGGAAGGGCATCAGCAGACGCCGTTCAAAAATGCTTTTTCACAGGTTTGCCTTTTTCAGCAAAACCTCTGAGGTAGAATGCTGCATGTAACCTTCGAGCTTCCTTTCCTCCTTTTATCTTTTCTGATTTATGGAAGCTTCCATGTTTTATGACCACATTGTACCAAATGCAGATATATTTTTTTCAGGTAGACTGAACTGGAAATCAGCAGCAGGCGTCTTAAGAAAAAGTCTTTAAAGTGAAATGTGAAGCAATGAGGACAGATCCGAACCCTTGTGCTAAATTCAGGTCCCTGCTTACCTTTGGAGAAGTCCCGTTTTGTCAAACTCCAGATTTTGAATCTGGAGGTTTCTTGTCTAGTTCTGCGTTCTGCCCTATCAGCTCTAAAACCTTTATTATTTAGGACCAAACATTTAAGTCGATCTAGATTGATCTAATAAGCTGGGATCCTTTATTCTAGTTTACGTGTACGTTAGAAAACCAAGCTCTCAAATGTTCATTCCACTCCTGTACCGTAGGTGGCAACATGCGCGGGTTGGCAGTCTTCCGGTTAGCTTATAGGGAGCCTAAGTCTCCTCCCTTTCCGGTTGGCTCATGGGTCCCCGCAAGAACGAAAAAATGAATGCAAGTCAACGGGGCAGTAAGAGATATCCGCTTTGCCTTACGCCCTGGATCGCGCATACATGTGTTGTACTTCTATTCAAATGAAAACTACTGATGGGTGTTTCGAGCACGCCAGTCACTTACTTTGAGATTTATCGCTTGTAAAAGTTCGTAATTAGCATGACTAGGTTCGTGGCATAATATGACGTCACCACATAATCTCCTCTCCCCTAGCGCAGCGGCTACTTACCACACGGCCGGGTTATTGGTGGTCCTTTCCTCCTGAAGGAAGGATTTGAAGTTTGCTGAACTTACAGCCATTTTCCGTCTGTTTTTCTCCGTGTCTGGTTCGATGACGTCACTTTGGCGATGCGCATTTGTAGTCCTGGACTTATTTTCACACACAACCTAAAATAACGTTACCCCCGTTCAAAAATGAGCGCGTTCTTGGTATAAAAATGTCTAAAATTCATGGACATCATGTGTGAAATTCATAGCACATAGCAAACAGAATTAAAAACAACAGCGTGTTTAGCCCCATTGACTTGCATTCATTTTTTCGTCCTTCTGAGGACCCACGATGCGGAAGTAGATGGGCGTGGCCTAGGTTCCCTTTAGCAACTTAAAGTAATCAAATGCTGGTGAGAGTGAAGCAGGCAAAGTTAAAGAGGATGTTCACAATGACCACGAACGGACAACAACGCTGCAGCACAGCTCATTCGGTGCGTACTGTACTGTGTGATGGTGTTACGCATGTTACTTAGTGGCGATGATCTAATCAGATGGCCGCTTCTGCGGTCTCGTCACTTCCAGAAGTTACCGGTATCAGCTCAACTGAGCTGTTTACATCCAGATGCAGCTTGTTTCCTTCCTACCGCATTATCTGCTGGAGATCGTTGTGGGATGAAGATGGAGCCCCAGGTGTTTGTTTTTGTTCAGTTGTTTCCATGAAGTCCATCATCACAGGGCTCTTTCACCAAACCTGACTCTTTCATTTCATTCTCCAACCTCTTACCCTCCTGTCTTCTGACTCCTCCTCTCCTCGCCGCCTCCTTCCTTCATTTACACTGATTTTCTGACCTCTCCTGCTTCTCTTGGTAGACTTGACCAGCAGACCCCGTAGTCCACCTCAGCCTCCTCCTCTACCACCAGGACGCCCGCCTCCACCAACTCCACCCCAGGAAAGAGGAAATGAGCCAGAGCTGGGAGCAACAGGAGGAGCAGCAACAGGAACTGGAGGGGGAGGAGCAGCAGCAGCAGTAGGAGGGGGAGGAGGAGTGTCTGCAGGGATGGTGGCAGCCACAGCAGCTGCAGCTGCAACACCAGGAGGAGGAGGTGCCAGCAGTGGAGGGGGAGTAGAGGACTGGGAAGACAGGGACACTCCTCTTCGCCAGTTGGAAGCTGTAGAGGGTGAAGAGAGGGAGGGTGCAAGGGCCCCTCGAGCCATCGATAACCAGTACTCCTTCTTCTGATGGAGTGGCAGCCGGGAGGAGGTGGAGGAAGAGGATGTTTGTGTGGTTTTGTGTGTGAGAAAGTGAGATTGGAAGAGGCGGCGTATGTCATAGCCATTCATAACCAGTATTTTTATTTTGCTAGTGAAGAGGAGGAGGTGTAAAAGTACTAACACTATACGAGACTGAGAGAGGGCCGGTGGGAGCAGCTTTACAACACTAACTAGCCGTACATTTCTTTACTTTTTTAGCCAGATAAGCTTTGTTTTGCCGGTGCGCCTCTCAGAAGACTCTTCATCCTAGATGAGGACTCTGGAGTCAGCAGACCTGATACCTCACAGTGGTCCTGCCAAGACAGCACATGTTAGTCAGAGGCCAAACACTCTACAGATGTTTCTACTGTGGCAGAGAGACCCAAAACGTTACACCTACACTGAGCCGCGGTGGTGATGCTCCTCAGAAACCGCTTCAGGTCACCACGCAAACACCACTTCTCATGGGCTCGACACACGGGAGGCGACAAACGACCGCGATCAGCGAAATTTGTTGCCGTCGCTTTTATTACCTGACACACGGGAGGCGATCCACGGCAGCGGCCAGCGGCAAAACCGTCTACGCGTTCTGTTCCATGGTGAAATCGAATCTTCCGTTGTTTTGATTGGCTGTGTCAGGTTGGAGGGAATTGAGGTTATTTAAGCGGTTCAGAGTTAATAAAGTGGTAGATATGTTTCACAAGGTGCTGCTCGAGTTACTTCTGATTTTACTATAAAACATAATAATAATCAACTTCTCCTTCATGTTTGCTCGGAGATGTATGGAGCATCCTGTCCGCTCATTGGTCAGTGAATGAAACCTCCGTTGATTGGTCCTCGTCCGAGCGACAGCGATGAAAAGTTGAAAATGTTTCAACTTTCTGGGATTGCGTCGCTGGGTTGCCTGTGCACGACATGTGCACGAGCGCAAAATTTGACGCGTGTTTTTCGCGTTTCGCTTGGTAGGAGGGAGACCCGCGATTATCGCTTTGTCGCGCATGTCTCATTGAAAATGAATGGAGGAGAGGCGATGTAGCCTCCCGTGTGTCGAGCCCATTACTCTGAGGATGAGTAACAAGGCTCAAACTCCCAATCCATGCCTCATTTCTACGTTTCCTAGACTTTTGTCTTCATCGGTACTAATCCAGCTGTTCTGAAGGTCTTCCAGTTTCATTTTTGGGAGAATTTGGCTGATGTTTTTTAGTTCGTTTCAGTTTTTGTTTCAGATTATTGATGGATTTTCAAATCCTTTGTGTGTGTGGAGAGTTAATTTTTTTGTTTAAGACTAGTTTCCACCTCAGAACAATGCTGCTGATTGCTAAGTTTCCAGCTTATGGCTTTGGACTATAAAGAATAGAACAGCAGCCCAAATCCAAAGAGGAACTTTAGACCCTCATAAAGTCTGGAGACCTACTGATCTAGATTACCAAGGTCTGGCTGCTGGTTAGGAAATTCTAAAGAAATGAGGACTGGATCTGGAGTTTAATCCATAAGAGTTCACAATGTTTACAATATTTAATAGTTTTTTTCTCTTTTAGATATTTGAATTGCTAAATGGGTTTGTGGTCTTTAGTCAGAATACTTTTATCTGTTCATAGAAACAACTAAACTTCAGGTTAATAATTCAAATAAAGATGTGAAAAATACACAGAAATGTAAAAAGTGAGAGAGAAAATGGATTTCCATCCTCCAGAAGGACAAATGCATTTAAAAAACGTCAAACATACAAATAATAAAACCCTCTGAAATAAATAGGAAACTTGGCTCTGAGCTGCCAGCTGAAATAAGGCATGGCAGCTTTATTTGTATGAATACATACACAGGGGCAATTCAGTGTGCTTTCCAGTAGCGAGAATAATGTAACGTTAAAATCAGCGTGACGGCACAATTGAAACAAATTTCAGATTTAAGAATCAGAAAAAGGAAAAAGTTAAAAGGTGGGCGATTACAGTGCAGAGGGTAATTAAATAGGCTGATGAATACATGAAAGTTTTCCGTTTTGATTTAAAAGTTACTAGAGTTGGGGCTCATTTGAGGTCATGAGGAAGCTGATTCCATGTGTGAGCAGCTTCACCCTGTTTGGTTCTGACCCGAGTTTCTACCGGCCGACAAGACCATTCCTGTGAGCGGACGAGTTTAACTGAAATAAAGCGTTTTATTTCTGGGTATAAATTCAGGCTATAACTCATATTTAAGATGAATGACATCTCACTAGAGCCAACAGTAATATTTATTATACACTGAGCCTACCTTTGCTCTCATAGGTTTACAATAGCATGATATGGAACCTTTAAAATAGGAGCATCAGCAGAACTTATGCTCACCAATTTCTTTGTTACTGTTCAGAAATCTGAAACTGTTCCATCTTTGTCTTTTTCAGAAACATCTGAATTTTCTGGCTCTCTCAGACGGCATTTGATTAAACAAGCTTCATCTGTTTTTACATGAATATTCACGGATCCAGAACCAGTAAATCTGGTTTAACTCCGAGTTACCCTCCAGCTCAGAGATCTGAGTGTAAGTGAGTTAATCTGGAGATAACCTGGTCTCTCAGGCTGGTGATCCAATTTGTTATACACTACTCAATTAAACCTGTGAACTCTTCATAGAGTTGGTTTTATTGATTTGATTTGATAAAACTTTTAACATTTCAAGGATTTACTCATAAATGAAGTTAATTATTACAAATGATATTACCAATTAAAACCATGCAGTCACTTTTAAGTATGAGTAAATCATCACTCCCTATTTTGATCAAGTTCTTTGGTATATTTAAAATTAAATAAAAAGGTCAAGAGATAAATGTTTTAAGGGCTTTGACTATTTAAATTTACTGGAAAAGATTTGAGTTTTATACTTTTTCTCATTTAAGATGACACATTTTTTACACCACACCCACGAATGTTTGACCATTGTGAGGAAAAATAAAATGTGGCGTGTTGACGTTGGACAGTGTGTTAACGTTTTGGGTCTGCAGTAGGAAGGAAACCTTTACCTCAGACTCACTCAGCAGCATCTCTCAGTACTGATATATGTCTCTCCTCTGTTTCTGACTCACACAAACCCTCAAGAGCAGAGCTGTGCTTTCTTTCAGAGAGAAACGATAAAATAATGGAAATAATAGTAATAACGATGGTCAGAATATTAGTATTAAATGTGTTTTTGACACTTGTTTTTTATTTTGTATGCCTACTCTATGTAACACTTATTCCAACTCCATCTCAGTTGAAATGTCTTTGTGCCTTTTTTATTTTGGGGATGAAAAGAAGGAAAATGGTTAAAAGGTTTTTTTTTTCTTATTTTCACTGTGACAGTTTTCCCTCACTGTTCATGTGTTCTCCTCCTCGAACTCATCCTGCATTCATCAGGAGTAAAAAATAATCTAGCAGAAAATGTTGATAGCTACTTTTTTCTAGTTGTGCCTTTCTCTGTGTGTGTCTGGTCATCAGCCCGTCTCGGTTTAGATCTCCGTGTAGCTGACCTGCTCGTTTCTGAAGGACTTTTCTTTGCTCGTCATGTATTTGTCTCCATGCACATTTTAACCTCTGGTCTTCATGTTCTGTGTCCTTTTCTCATTTTAAAAACTCTCTGTGCCTTTCTCTGTCTTTTCTCTCTTTGCTGGGACCGTGTGTTGAGGGCAGACAGAACTTTCTGTCCTACCTGTGTGGTTAGTTTCAGGTACTACATTGAATTTAATGATAATGATATAATATAAATATAGTGAAACATTCAGCTTGGTTTAATGTGGTGATTTATTGCTTTACTCCTGTTCAAAAGGCTGAACAGAGGCTCCTGGCTGGGCCTGACCCATCACTCCCACCAGTGAGTGCTGCATCAGTGTGAAAGCCTGGTTGGCCCAGGGGGGTATAGCAGCAGATGAAAAGCCGTACATGGGGTGATATCTCGAAACATCTCAGCTCTTGCTACCTCACCAAGGGAATCCTCGTGTTTGGGATTCGGGGGCAACGCAGACGTTTAGACTTAGACATTTCTTGGAAAATTTATTTTATTTTACCTTTTTTTTCCCCCGTGTCCTGTCTGGCTGTGAAGCGAACAGAATTGATGTCTGAATGCTGGTGACAAGCTTTAAAGATTTACTCTCAGGTGGAGCATCAAAGCTTCTGCTTTTAATGTCACGCCTGATACTTAAAACTTTATTGTTATTGTTTTTTGAATGCTTTATAATTCCGACCAGACACTGAGACAGAGATGAAAGAGAAAGGAAGAGAAAAAAGGTGTGTGTGTGTGTGTGTGTGGGGGGGGGGGGGGGGGGGGGGGAGTCCTCTTTCATAGAGAAATGATCAAATTAAACTCCCTGACCCGGGAGACACGACGCAGGCAGACCAAGACACCACACTCCTAACCAGGTGTGGCAGGGGGAGGGAAGACGAAGATGTATAACATCAAAATAAGTCCCAGGAGAGGGGAGGAGTCAGAGTCAGACATATACAGTCATACACAGACACACTCACTCCCTCCCTCATGCTCACACATACACATACAACCAACGACTTGCAAAAATGCATGCCAGACACCCACTCATGCTCCCCATACACATCCTATTCACTCTGGTCCCGGTACTGCTGCACATGGGGTACAACCATTACTGGTTCCTAGAGTTCGACCCTTTCTGCTGGGGTGCTGATGAGCAGGCTCCCCGCCCAACACCGAGCAAAGCAACCCACCATCCCAGGCCCCAACCAGACAGCCAGATCTCCCTCCTAGCCTCCAGCCCCGGGAAGCCAAGCGACAACAGTGGTGTGCCAAGACCCCTAGATCCTTTTGCCTGCTCCAATATGGTGTTAGTACGTGTTGATGAGGTGTATTCCATGGCTGTGGTGAGCGGGCAGTGCGGGCATCGTCTGGCCTATGCCAGCTGATGCCACCACACCACCCCACTTGCACCCACAGCCTTCATTGTCTAAGTGCAGTTTAAAATTGGAAGTGGGCACCGGCAGTCGGGATGAGGCTGAAAAATCCCCCTGCCAAATGCCGTTGAATGCTCTCACTCCCAAGGCCCTAAGTGTGTGTTTGCGTGGAATGTCATTGGCAGAAGTGTATAAGGTGCAAATAAAATTGGGGGGCAGGCTGCCACAGGAACACGGAATGGGGTCCATACCCGCACCCCATGACTTGTCCACCCCCCAAGGTCCTATGTGCATGTTTGTGTGATGATGTGAGGGAGCAGGAGGAGAGAAATATGCGGGGATGGGGAGGAATGGCTGGTTGGACTTAAGCCCACCAGGGAGCCAGCTCCCCCACTGGCCCCAATAGGCACCTCTGTTGCCAAAATGCCACCCAGGGCATGGAGACCCCAGCCCATCTTGCCAGGGCCAAAAGCAGCAGCATCACAGAGCCTCACGGAGTCCGAGGGCACCAACCCGGCCCCGCCCCAGCAGAATATCTACTCCCATCCCTGCATTTGCACAACTTCCAGAATATATAAGACATAGGACATCCAGGTAAGGTTGGGTCCTCCCCCTCCTGGACTTCCCCCTCCCCTGTGATGGGACAGCAGAGGAGCCAAGGTCTACCTGAGCCCAGGCCAGGCACTGCCATTTGTTCCCGCCTTCTTCCCGGCAGCATTTATGTCAGGACCCGAACCCCAAGGCCCCGCCCAGATCCCCACACGGGGCCAGCCACCCCCACACCCCGAGCCCCCACCCAGACCTGCTCAGGGGCAATGCCGCTGCCAGAGAGCGATCCATGGCGACCCCCAAGGGGCCCCACTCACAACCGCCAGTAGTCCACCCCCCGAGGCAACCAAAGCACCTCCAGAGGGGGGCAGCAGCCCCCCAGTCCCAGACACCCCCAGTGAACCCACCTCCAGGGAACGTCTGGATAAGATTGATTTGAAGTGGAAGCAGAGGCTGTATCAAGTTTAAAATGAACTAACAAAAGATTTATATACTGGTTAATGCAAAGAGTTTCTCTATTTTTCCAATTCATGAGGATAGTTTTCTTAGGGATGCATATGGCACTCAGAACCACGTGAACCAGTGATGTTTCAATCGGGACATCGTCCAGGTTTCCCAGTAAACAAAGAGAGGGGGAAGTTGGGATATGACATTTCAGACACTTTGACAGGTCTTCACATACTCTACCCCAAAATTCATGGTTAGGTGGACAGGACCACAGTGCATGGATGTAATTGTCAGGAATGTTCCATTTTTGGTTCTTTTTAAAACACAGGAAAGGTTTCCCTAGTTTTGTTTGCCGACTGCAAAACATCCTCAGAGCTGATGCTGATGGAGGCGTCACTTCCTACTCCGTTTCTCCGCGGGCAGCAGAGGACGTTGTCGCCCTCTGCTGCCCGCTCTCCCCTCTCCAATGATGCAGTCCCATGTACGATCCAATGTGTAAAATCCCATCGTCTCTGTTCATAGTCGTGCATCCACGTCTCCTTATCTCTATGGCTTCTTCTCTGGCGCTCACAGGGAGCAGACGCTTCTGCCTTTCCTCCCTTATCTGTGTGTTTTCCCAAGGCTCTTTTTGTCCCGTCTGCCTACAGAGCGCTTCTCTGCATTTCCTCTGCAATCACCTTTTTATTTTTCAATATGGACTTAATTAATTGGTCATTCAACGCGATTGATAAGATTTTTTCTACAATGAGGACGGAGGAGGGGGCTCACGCTTGTCCTCAGGGGACACATGCAGCGGGATACATGTTCGATTCCTGGAAAAAGTGGAATGTCATCTGTCTCTCTCAGCTGTCCATTGAGGACGTCGAAGATATGTGGATATTTGGCCTGATGATCGTTGGATTTCTTCTGATTGGAGTGGGAGGATATCTGGCTTTCCGTAAAATTGGGATGACGGGAGCGATTGGAGGGCAACCCGCATCCATGGACGGCACCGTCCGGGTGGATACCTCACAGACTGGGACGTTGCTCGAGGTGAATCGCAAGCTGGACAATGTCTTGGCTGCGTTACCGGTGTTAGCGCGCAGGATTGATAACATCTCGGAAAGGGTCACCGGACGGTGTGGAGATGTTTAATCACTGAATTGGCTTCACTGGAGGACTTGAATGATCAATACAGACTTAAGGCAGAGAGGAAAAATTATCTCTAGCTGACCCAAAACAAAGTTCTGTTATCGAGTCTGACGCCATAAGCAGCCTTGGAGTTGCATGCAAAACCCCCATGCTGGAAGGAATGCAGACAAATGCTGTGAATCTCTATCCACCCACCCCCCCGCCTTCAGATTGTGCTCTCTACCGAGGTCATGAAGCTGAAGGACTCACTGCTCTCTGTGCTTCCCCTGACCTCCCTCCCACCTGCGGAGCCAGCTGGTGAGCGCCACACAGGCCGCCCCCGCTGATGAAACCAGGATCCCAGCCCCACCCCCCTACCTACCGGGTCTCATGTTGTGAACTGTGACGTTTGTTGCTTACATGTCGGGTGTTTTTTTTGCATTGGAGCGCTACACCCTGCTGGTGTAACCCTGTTAATGCCTTTTTTCTCCCTCCCTGAACTTTCCTCATGTATTCCCTTACTCATCTACAAAGGAGCGCCGTTATGGCTGCTCTCATGGTCTGCCTGTATCTGTCTTGTCTATATGTGTGTGTGTGTGTAACCTTGGTCAGGTTGTACTGTGGAGTCAAGTTCCTACGCTCTGAAAGGAGCGCTGGCAATAAAATTCTTCTGATTCTGATTCTGATTCTGATCTATCTTTTGTATTTCTGTTGTTCGGTGTTTATGATCCTTGTGTTGTCAAAAAAAATAAGAGCAACAATGAAAAAACACAACATAAACACACCAACAAAACCATACACAACAGTTAGAAACAGACTAGTGCACCCAAAAGACAAGATACCAGCTGGACTTAAATGTGGAGTCGTTTACGAAATCCCATGCAAACTCTGCAGTAAAACATACATAGGAGAAACCGGACGCCAACTCAACACACGAACAACAGAACATAGAAAGGAGTGCGAGAGAGAACAAATCAAAAACACACAAGAACAGCAAAACAAGAAGCAGAAAGCACAATAAAGAAGTCAGCCGTAACAGATCACTGCAAAAGAGAAAACCATATAATGGTGTATGGCAGGGTAATCACTGGTTTTGGTTCTTATCTTTCTGGGTTTCTGGTTCTTTGCTTAGGTTCTTCTTTTCTTTCTGACAACAGAAACCTAAGCAAAGAACCAGAAAGACAAGAACCAAAACCAGTGATAACCCTGCCATACATCAAAGACATAACAGAAAAAATAAGAGCAACAATGAAAAAACACAAGATCATCTTCCACTTTCTTTAAAAGTGGGATGTAGTTTAGTTTGGTTAGATCTGCAAACTTGGGAGAGACATTAATTCCCAGGTATGAGATATTCCCTGACTCCAATTGTGTATTAAGCAAATTGACAAAAGAGAAATTAATTGGTAGAACTGTGGATTTTAACCAGTTTATAGAGTAATCTGAAACTCTTGAAAAAGAGTTTATCAGTTCTATTCCTTGGGAGAGAGAGGATTGAGTATTCTGGAGAAATAGTAAAACATCATCTGCCTAAAGACTGATCTTATGTTCTATTTTCTTATATTTAATGCCTTTAATACCTGTTGTTTGCCTAATTGTTGCCGCTAGTGGTTCGATAAAGACAGCAAACAGTGAGGGGGAGAGTGGGCATCCCTGCCTGGTCCCCCTCTGAAGACAGAAGCTAGCTGATATTTGGTCGTTTGTCCTGACACGTGCTGTTGGTGAACTGTATAATGTTTGTAGCCAGTTTATGAAGAA